CTCTCTCTACACTTCCTGTGTGTGGGTGAACTCTTTACTATTCAAACATTCTAGAAACCTGGAGCTGGTTTCTTCACAAGAACAGAAGAGTGGCTGTTACTGCTGCATCTTGAAATGTCTCCAGCAGACTTGTGTTTGAGTACTTGGTCCCCAGTGGTGACGCTGTTTTGGAAAGTTGTGGAACCTTTCGGAGATGTCGCTAGACTGAGCCTCTGAGATTATACCGGCCTCTAGTTCTGTTCTAGTTTTAAGCTATCTGATCTGCCAAGGTGTGAAGTTCTTCCACCTCATACTCCAGCTGCCATGAACTCCTCCGTGCCTTCCCCACCATTGTGGGGAAACCAGGGGCTGAACAAAATCATTCTTCTCTTGTCGTTTTTTTTTTTTTTTTTTTTTTTTTTTTTTTTTTTTTTTTTGTCAATTGTTTGTCACAGTGATAAGTAAAGTAACATATGAGGAAAGGCAAATATATCCTAGTATTTATACCAAGATAGTTCAGAAGGGCTGTAGCTGTAGCTCAATTGTTTATCCAGCATACAGGAGGCCCTGGGTTCCATCTTCGGCAGTGTACAAAATGGTGTGGTGACATCTACCTTTAATCCCTATACTTCAGAAGTAGAAACAAGAAGATTAGAAATACAAGGTCATCCTTGACTACATAGTCAAGGCTAGCTTGAATACATGAAACATTCACTCAGAAAAGATAGATAGATAGATAGATGATAGATAGATAGATAGATAGATAGATAAGGCCTGGGATCCATATAGTGGAAGAAGTGGACTCCCTCAAGTTGTCCTTTTATAGCCACACTCTCACCATGTATCCTGTTCTTTCTCCTTCTCTCTCTGTCTCCCCCCACCTCTCTCTCTCTCTCTCTCTCTCTCTCTCTCTCTCTCTACACACACACACACACACAAACACACACACACACATACACACACACACACACACACCCTTCATCCAGCCAGCCATTGATCGATTAAATGTAATAAAAAGAAAAGAGTACCTGCTATGTTCCCACTTCCACTTTTGGGTTTGACTCTGTATTTATGTAACTAAATAGCCACATGAAATGTTGGTCTCATAACTAAGAAATTTCTTCCTGGCAGTTCTGTCCTTCTCTGTGAGGAATTTTTCCTTCTCTGCTTTAAGAGTTCAAAGGTCATGGCTCAAACAAATGTCTGCATTTTGTGCTTTACCTTCTCTTCAAGTCTTTATCCCAACCTCACAGGTTAAGGGAGGGATGGAGCTGAGATGTGGGTGGTGGGAGGATGCTTCTACTTCTGCTCTCAAGTTTTGCTCCAAGCTCCATGTTTTTAAAAAATTGTTATTTTTCATTTTATTTTTGTGTGTATAGTGTTTGTGTGCATACATACGTATGTGTTTGAGCGCACAGATGTGTATCCATGTGCATATGGAGGCCAAGGTTGACATCCATTATCTTCCTTGATTGCTCTCTATGTTTTGGGTTTTTGTTTGTTTGTTTGCTTGCTTGCTTGTTTAGTTTTGCTTTTCTGAGACAGGGTTTCTCTCTATAACAGTCCTGACTGTCGTGGAACTCACTCTGTAGACCAGGCTGGCCTCAAACTCAAGAGATGCACCTGTCTCTGCCTCAGGCATGCACCACCACCACCTGGCTCTATGTTATTTTTTGAGACAGGGTTTCTCTCTGAACCTGGAGCTCCCCAATTTGCTAGAATGGCTGGCCAATGGCTCCAGGGATCCACCCTCTCCACAGCTAGGGTTACAGATGTGTAACATGTCCAACTTTATGTGGGTTGGAGAGATTGAACTCAGGACTTTGTGCTTGTAAGGCAGACACTATACTGAGCCATGTCCTCAGCACCCCCACTGTCTTTCATCTGCTTAGCCATCTCTGTTCTGATGACATGGTTGATGACATCCAAGTTTCCCCTCTAAGTCTTCACTAGCCTCAAGGCTCAGTCAGCCCTGAAGTTCTCGGCAGGACTGTTGTCAGCATTTAATTATGTCCACATCACTCACCTCTACTCTCAGCCCTCTAGTTGCTTTCTGCTAACTGTGAGAAAGTTCACAGGGGCAGCAATGACCCCATTGGCCAAGAATTTGTGCCACCTCACAATCTAGTTTTCCCTGAGAGCTTCTAGACTCGTCTCAAAACATCAGAGACACTGTGATCACATGAGCAAAGTGTCCTTTGGGATCTGGAGGTACCAAATCTCCCAGTGGTTGCTTCCTCCAAACCCCTAGAGCTACATTTCTCTCCACCACCCCCCCCCCCCCCCCCCCCCGCCCTGCTGGAAAATCTCTGATCCCTGTTGTTAGGAAAGAGGGCAATGAAATTTAAATTTAGCATGTGAGGCTGTGGATCACCCTATCTCTGTTTCTGAGAAACAACTGTTTACTATTCTAACACTCCAGAAACCTGGCAACGGCTCCTGGCTGGCAAGGGTAAGCTCCCCAGCTCAAGAGCAGCTGTGCTTGCAAGCGACCCCTGCCCCATGGGCCCTCCCCACCACACCAGTGGCATGTCTGAGTTAGGAGGGATCCAGACCTAGAACTTTTACAGGGCCACAGAAGGCAGACAGACCCTATTTTTGATGATCTGTGGATTATTGAGAAAGGAAATTCCAAACAGTCCATGGGGCTCTGAAGACGCTCTCTGTCGCCTGCCTTCTCTTCTTGTCTCTCTGATTCTATTTCTGTATTTCCCTCTGAGGGGACATTTATGCAGCTGAAACTGAAAAGTCATGAAATGGAAGTGGTGGTCCTAAAGAGATGTTCCTAGGTGGGAAAGTGGGGATTTCCAGGCCTGCTTCCACCATGCAGACAGTGGGAACTCCAGACCACAGGGACTCCTAATGCTTGGAAATTGAGTGTTTAAGTACTATTGTCACTTGCTGCACGGAAACTGGGATGTGGGCTACAGTCATATGGGGACTGATGCCAAATTTGTCACTAAGTACCAAGAAACTGCCTTGTTTGCATTTTCTATTGGCTACGTGAACCCCAAACAAAGCCCTTTGCTTACATCCTCCTCTTAAGTCACACACATAGCACGTGATACTAGGTGCTAGAGCAGGGTCATTAGACAGTAGGGGCAAGCAGTAATGTTATCTCTACAAGTGACATTCTGGCCACTCCATGCCTCGTGATCCCTGAGGCTAAAATGAGACTCCAGCAGTGGGAGGGAATGGAAAGTGGTGACGTGAGCCACCTGAGTGACACTGTAACCTCAGATGATGCTGGTGGCCAGGGCTATATAAGCTGAAGAGAACAGAGCTGAATGCATTTGATGATGTCATGAGCTGAGGATGCTAGTGTGATTCTCTGTCTTGGGTGTCTTTCCTGGCGAGCCTACTCATCACGGAGAAAGTGAAGTAAGGCTTGTATCAACACTTGATGTTGGAAATATGCTCTGGAAGAAAATGCTTACGCATTTAGAGGGTGAATTTGTTTTGGCAAAGTTTGTCCAGCACAGCACAGCTGCCTATGTACTCATTTTGAACATTTGCACACAGCCGACCAGCCAACATATGCCTATTGTCATACTTACTATGATGAAGGCACTGAAATAGGATCAGACAAGTACATAATACAAAAACAGACCTGGAACTTTTCCAAAGACAATTCATAAGCGAGTGAGAGGACCAGCATGTGGAGAGTCATTTCATGCAGACACATACGTGAATATTTGCAGGCTTATCTTGCAGAAGAGGGAACTCATTAAGGGATACCCATAGAAACTGTTCTTACGGAAGATGTATGATAGCATTCTACTAGCACCCCCCCCCCCCCCCCCCCCGCCCCCCGAATTCTGCAAACCAAGGCAGGATTCTAGCACCTTCTTTTTTATTCATTCATTTGGTTTTTTAAGACAGGGTTTCTCTGAGTAGAAGCTATGGCTGTCCTGGAACTTGCTCTGTGGACTAGGCTCACCTCAAACTCAGAGATCCGCTTGCCTCTGCCTCATGAGTGCTGGGGCCATGGTACATAGGTCAGAGGATAATTGCGGTAGTCATTTCTCTCCTTCCACCATGTGGGTCCAGTTCTGGGATTGAATTCAGGCTGTCGAGCTTGGCAACAAACATCTGTTTTCACTGAGCCATCTCCCATGCCCATGACTGATACATTAAAAAAAAATTAAAACTTAAATTTATTTATTTATTTAGTGTGGGTATGTGTACCACTTGTGGAGATCAGAAGACAACTTGTAAGAGACCCAGGATGGGGTCCCTGAAATCAAACAACTTTACCCAATGAGCCATCTACCCTGGCCATGAATGATATTTTTTCAGGTATTTGCATAAGGTCAGCAGGCAATACTGTCTTGTCTCACAATGAATTCCCCAGGGATAATAAAGAAAAGAAAGCTGCCCTTTAAGAATTAATCATTTGAAAAAAAAAAGAATTAACAATTTGTGACTCTTTGCCCCTTCCTCTCCAGGTCTAACTGGGTCCAGGCAGGGAAGCTAAATGCAAATCATATACAGCCAAAGTACAGTGCAGAACTGATTCTAGCTACTAAAGGACAAAATGGTTTGCCATGAGAACATCATTGAAGGAAAAGAAGAGTGTGTTGGTAACTCTTTGTTTCACTAAGACCAAACACCTGACAGAGGCAACTTAGGGGAAGGACTCATGCAGTGAATGCATGCCGCTGCTCAGCTTCTTTCTCCATCTGTACGATCCAGGTTTTCAGCCAGGGAATGGTGCCACCCAGAGGGGGCAGATCCCTTCATCTCAGTTAATATGATCAGGGACACCCAGAGGTCCATCTTCCAGGTGATTTTAGATCAATTCTGTCAAGTTGACAACATTAGTCGTCCTACATAACATGTCAAGCCAACTCCAAATCTAACACAGCAACTACTTATTGTTTCTTATGCTTCTGTGAGTTGAATGGACAATTCTCTATAAGATGTTAGCTAACGTGGGGCGCAAATAATGCGGACTTCAAAGGAATCAGACCGAGTTTGGGACGAACAGATGCTTTAATAGGAAAGTACTCACACGACGAGTCACCAGGCGAACCCTGGAACAGAGGTAGCCTCCTGCATGGGACCCTCATATTTAAGGTCTTGCTACGTCACTCTGACCACGCCCTAGTGTGCGTGCGTGGTCTGCGTCACCTGTGCCAGCCCCCGAGAGGGCGTGGCTAAATTTCCCCTATAGTTATCCAGGACTTGTCTGGGTTGTGATGGCCACTGACATGCTGAGGGTCTTGGCTCTTCTCATCTTCTGTAGCTTCTATGTGTGGTCTCTCTTTCCAGGAGGGGATCCTGCACTTCCTTACAGCTGCCAGCTGGGCTCCAAAGAAGCAAAGCAAAAATGGCAAGGAAGAACACCATGGTTGTTTTTTGTTGTTGTTGTTGTTTTGATATAGAGCAATTTCTTTTTTTTTTTTTAATTTAAAAGCTTGTTTTACATGTCAATCCCAGTTCCCTCTCCCTCCCCTCCTCCCCTGCTCCCCATCAACCCCCTATCCCATCCCCTTACTGCTCCCCAGGGAGGGTGAGACCTTCCATGGGGGAATCTTTAAAGTCTGTCATCATTTGGAGCACGGCCTAGACCCTCCCCGTGTGTCTAGGCTGAGACAGTAACCCTCTATGTGGAGTGGGCTCCCATACAGGGCCAGTGCTGCCTCAAGAGGGAAAATGGAGTGACTAGGGGGAGTTGCAGAGATGATTCAGTGGTTAAGATCACTTTTTGTCCTTGCAGAAGACCAGAGTTTGAATTCCAGTATCAAGAGAGTACTTCATAAACACCCCTAACTACAGTTCCAGGGTATCTAAAACCCTCTTCTACATACATACACATACACAGAGATAAAACACACACACACACACACACACACACACACACACACACACACACACACACAAATAGATATATAATAAAATTAATTAATTTGAAACAGACTTCATTGCACCCAATGGAAGAAGTGTGCCAGGACAAAAGAAACTATCATGTGTCATATTTATGGACAAAATATCCTACCAGGTCCCACTCCCTCTCTTTCCTCATCCTCTCCCCATCTTGATCCTTGCAGAGTCTACGTTCCAAACTTGGAGCATCATAGGCCCAGGATTCAGAAACATGTCTGAGTCTCTCTCAATGTGTCTTCAGCTTTACCCTTGACTTCTGTTCTGTGTTTGTGGGTTTCCACGTTGTTTGTGGAACCTAAACTTGACCTCTTGTCTCTCCTGAAGTAAAGTAACCATTACCATAGCTAATACTTATCAAACTCATTCTCCATATCAGACAAATCTTGGGAGCTCTGTATTATTTCTATTTTGTAACCATGGTAACCAAGATCCAGATGTGCCACTGGGAGGCAGGGGCAGCAGTAGATGGCAGCTTTACAACTTGAGCTGGTTGTCTGTGCTAAAGCAGTCTGTGTAGCTCTGCTCGAGCAACTTCATTCTTTTTTTTTTTAACCTTGAATGTTTTTTCTTTTTTTAATTTAAATTCTTTAATTACTACTCATATTTACATATCCCTCCCCATTTCCTCACCCTCCCACCCTCCCATGTTCATTCTTCCTGGCTGTGGTACTGTGTAACTCTCATTGTTCACCTTTGCCTGGGGCTACTTTGCATTCCTGGGTCTTTTGCCTGGCATCTGAGTGTAGCATGAAAAATAAAAACCCAGAACCAGATATTGGGGTTCAAGCTTCAAGCTGAAGATCAGAGAAGCAAAGCAGCCAAGCCAGTAGGTCTTACCTCTACCAAGCTGAAAAGGCAATCCTGTCTCCAAAGGTCCTCAAAGGCAAAAGATCTCAGTTCCTATCTCCTCCTCCTTATATTCTTTTCTCTGCCCCACTGTATCACTCCTGTCTCCAACTCCCCAGTGCTGGGATTAAAGGCGTGAGCTCTGTTACTCTTCACTCTTGTGTAGGCCAGGGTGGCCTTGAACTAACAGAGATCCATCTGCCTGTCTCCTGAGTCCTGGGATTAAAGGTGTGTGCCAACACTGTCTGGCTAGCTAGTATGACTGCTGGGATTAAAGGTGTGTATCACCATTGCCTGACCTCTATGGCTTGTGGCTGGCTTTGCTTTGTGTACCCTCGGGCAAGCTTTAATAAATCATAAATAATATATTACCACATCTGGGTCTTGCTACATACTAAGTGCTGCCTAAGGCTGGCTCTGTCTTTTTTCTCTTTAAAATAAAATTTTAAAAAGCATTCTATTAGTATGCACCTTGTATATAGAAACATAAAATGCATAGCTTGAAGATTTTTTTCCTCACAAAATGAGCACATTTTATCACCCAAATCCAGAAAGAGACCATCACAGGGATCCCAGAAACCCCTCACCCTGCCCATTAACTTCCTAGCCCTGGTGCACAGGTTAGTTCTTTAAGGGCACTAGCAACCTTTGACTTTATCGAATGTTTACAATTATGTCATGTGCTTTCTTCTGTGTCTGATGCCTGTTACTCACCAGGGTGCTCTTGGAAGCCAAATTACCTGCACAGCAATGGAGTGTTGGTTCACTGCTGAGCAGGATTCTAATGTGTGGCATTCCAAGAACATGTGTCGATTCTTCTGCTGGACATCTGGCTTGGCTCTGGGTCAAGATGATATAAATGATGCTTTTGTGGGTCTTCTTAGGCATACCTTCTGGTCATCTACATCCATATTTCTGCTCTGAACAGCACACCTGAGAGCTTAAGTAATTGTGAAACAATAATTTAACAAAGTATCTGTACCAATGTGCATTTGTACCAGCAGTGTATTAGTTTTTTTTTCTGAGATAGGGCCTCACTATCTCATCCTGGCTGACCTGGAACTCTCTATGTAGATCAGACTGGCCTGAGACTCAGAGATCTACCTGCCTCTATCTCCTGAGTGTTATGATTAGAAGTGTGAGCCATCATGCCCAGCTCCTATATGTTAGTCTGTTTGTCTCTCTCTCTTCTGCCTCTCTCTATCTCTTCTCTTCTTTCTTTTTTTCCCCTTGGGGATGAAATCTGGGGCTTCATGCATGCTGGAAAATCACAGAGTTTCAATCCCAGACCCTGAAAATCTCTCTTATATCAGCCATGCTCATCAGGTATAGTGAAACCCCACTGTGGCTTTGATTGATGGGCTACACCTAATGTGGAGAACATTATTGTTGTTTTAATGACTGTTTAGGTATCTTGCTCATTTTTCTACTGGAGTGTGTGTGTGTGTGTGTGTGTGTGTGTGTGTGTGTGTGTGTGTATGTATGTGTGTTTGGCTAGGCCTCGGGAAATGCAAATATCTAGAAATGTACTCAAGATGGACTATACAAGGATTTCTTGTGGTTAAAGAAAAGCCACCGGGCTGGAGAGATGACTCAGGGGTTAAGAGCACTGACTGTTCTTCCAGAGGTTCTGAGTTCAATTCCCAGCAACCACATGGTGGCTCACAACCATCTGTAATGTGATCTGGTGCCCTCTTCTGGCATGCCCTGTATACAAGATAAATAAATAAATAAATAAATAAATAAATAAGAAATGCCACCATTCCTTAGGAACTTGTTTTCTGTCTGAAAAAAGGAGTCATTTCCCTTGCCCCTGGCAGAAGAAATAGATGGTTCATATACCTGTGGCGCCTATCAGCATATCAAAGTCCATGCTAGCCTCCAGGTTCCCATAGTCCTTATTCACAAGTATGTATTATACATTTCTAATCCATGCTAGCATCCTGGCATCTCTCACCCACCCCCACTTCTACCATAAACTCCTAGGCCTGCTCCAGCTCACAAGCTTCCCTCCCCCTAGCTATTCATCCTCCTTATAACCTGCATGATTTTTCCACTTTCCTGGCACTGGCCATGTCTGGTCTGTTTCTGTTTGTTTGTTTGTTTGTTTATTCTCTCTGCTCTGGACATTTCCAGAAGCCTCTGGATATTTTCTCTCTCTTACGCACAATAAAGCCTTTCCCCCTAATAATGGAGCAGCCATTTCAGTAGTTTCTTTACTGCATCCCCTTGCATGCACACATACATATATGTACATACACAAACACTCACACATACACATATGAATATTTGGAACAATTTCTTGAATATTCTCATCATGAGTCATTTGTTAGGTATATGAATTACAATGATTTTCCATATCCTGTAGCTCACCCTCATATACTTTTGTTCTTGCTCTTTTGTTTTTTGGGGGGTTTTGTATGTTTATAAAAATAGGGTCTCATGTATCACAAGCTGGCCTTAAACTCACTATGTAGCCAAAAAGATGTTCTTGAACTTCGAATCCTCTTGCCTTTACCTCCCAAGTGCTAGATTTTAGGCATGCACTACCATGCTGGTTTACAGAGGGATGGGGATTGAACCCAGAGTCTCATGCATGCTAAGCAAACACCCTACCAACTGTGCTAATCCTCAGCACCCCTGTATATGTTTTCTTGGTGTCTTGGACAAACATATCTTCTAAGTATCATCACTCTTAGATTGTGGGTTGTTGATGTCTACTTCCCAACAGAATTATGCCACTTCCTTTGGGCCCTCTATAATGTTCCCTGATGCCCCTGTCTTCAGGACAACATCTCAAATGTACCAAATGCCCTTGGCATTCAATGTACCTGTTCCAGAGCCAGCCTTTCCCAAGAGGGCAGATCTGGTTTCAGGTTCTGGCACCTTGCAATCTTCTCAGGCTTCTCTGAAGTTGCCCCCTTGTGCCAAATAGTGTTCTGAAAGTAAGTTTAAGAGGTCCAATCAACTGACTTCTAAATGAACTTTTGGAATCTTTGACTAGGCAATGGATCTTACTGTGTGTTCTAGCTCTTTCTGTCTTACTCATCCAGCATCAAGAACTTCTAACCAAAAAGGGGTAAAACATTAAAGCAGAATTGTGAGTCACCCTGCAATTTAATATCATCTTGTCAATCTGGGCAGGAGATCTGAGATTGTATGGAAAAAATGAACTGCTTTTGTCAAATTGATAAGAAATTCAAAGAATAATTATTGAGTACCTGATATATGTCAATCAGTGTTCCAGACACTGTAAAAGTAACACAAGGAAAAGGCAGACACTGATCTTTGCATGCACGGTACTTACAGTTCAGATCGAAAGACAGATGGTAAACAAGCCAGAAAAATACACTTGGCATAATGAGCTATACCTGCTAAAGGAAAGGAGAACAAGTGCTATGATAGTGCTGATGGCTTTGAGCTTTTCGTGAAATCTTCAGGTAAGGGCTCACCAAAAAACGGGTGGGGTACTCAAAGAAAGACCTACAGAGACGCCAGCCTAGTTTCCTTTCTGCTGCAGTCTAAAGTCATCTGGCCAAAAGCCAGTTGGGGTTTATTTGGTTTACACTGCCAGGTCACAGTCTATCACTGAGTGATATCAAGGAGTTAACTAAAGGTAGGAACCTGAAGGCAAGCCTGTTTGGTGTTCTACATGGCATGATCTCCTACCAAGGAACTCACTTCATAGCTGAAGAAGTACAGCAGGAGCTATAGAGAATTCTGCTTTCTGGGTAGCAGGCAGACTCAACCAACTTTCTCATACAGTTCAGAACCACTTCTCTAGGGAATGATGCCACCCATATAGTAGTCTGGGCCCTCCTTTATCAATTAGCAATCAAGAGAATCCCCCTAGAAACATGCCTACCGGCAATTTTTCTATTGAGGCTCCCTTCCCAGATAATTATAGGTTGTGTCAAGTTGACAACACTAACCAGGACAGGGACAATACTTATGGAGCTAAGAGAAGAGGACAATAACTGCAAAGGTCTTGAAGTGGAAGTATATTTTGTGTTTAGAATGGCTCACATTGAGGGATGAAGGCAGGAGAAATGCAAAAGAGGTCAAAGATGCACCAAGGGTCATTGACCCTACATTCGGTGTGATGTAAGGCTACATTAATTCAGTCTAGTAATACCCAGAGGCCAAGTTCACCTTATGTATATATGAGGAAGATGGATATAACTTAGGAGCTGTTGAGAACAGCATACTGAAAAATATCGATTTGGATATTTTTGTTGCAATTTTTATACATAAATGATGTCTCAATAAAGGTTTCCTTTTTGGTGGTAGTGGTGGTACATGCCTGATCCTAGTACTTGGGTGTCTGATGCAGGAGGATCATGAGTTCAAGGACAGTCTAGGCTACACAGTGAGTTTAAGGCCAGCCTAGGATACAAAATAACGACACTGTCACTAAACAGCAACAAGAAGTAAAATCATCATTAAGCCAAACAAAGAAACAAAGGACAGGATGCCATATCTGAAAGAAAAGCACAACACAGCCATGGGAAGAGTGGGCTGCAGTCACACTCCTAGGCCAAGGGTGTGGCAATGAGGCAAGAGCTCTGAGACACTGGATATACAGACAAAAGAAGATTCAAGGAGCTGGGCAGTGGTGGTGCACGCCTTTAATTCCAGCACTCAGGAAGCAGAGGCAGGCAGATCTCAGTGAGTTTGAGGCAAGCCTGGTCTACAGAGTGAGTTCCAGGACAGCCAGGACTGTTACACAGAGAAACCCTGCTTTGAAAAACCAAAACCAAAACCAAACCAAACCAAGGATTCTAGCAATGGGCTAGGGTGTGGGAAGAGTTAAAAATAAACTAATGCAAATACCCAGACCTGCGCTTGTAGTGCCAATACTTAGGAGACAGTGAAAGGAAGGTCAGGAATTCAAGACCAGTGTCAGCTGCACAGTGAGTTTGAAGAAAGGAACTGGTTGGGTTGGGGGAAGGGACTTGGAGGAGGACAGTAGGAGAGGGAATAAATTAGAACAAAGAATTGATGATATATATGTGTGTGAAAAAAATAGGAAAATGAACTTTGTATGTTAATCTAAAAATCAATTTAAAGAAAGAAAATAATTATTCCTTCCTTGCTGTGTATTATAAAGCAGAGATGTGCCTCAGCATCTCATACAAGAGATGTGGCTTTGCAAAATACAGCCTTGTCAATGACTTGGTAATAAATGTTAGTGAGTATTCCCACGAAGCCATCTCTTCCAGCCAAGGTCTTGATATATCGGCCCAGTGCTGATGCAGATCAGACTTCCAGTTAGCCTTAAAGGAAAAGAAAAGATTATGACACCATGATGGAAAACCGACCAGGAGAAGATGATTTTGATTGATGGGCCCTGCTGGCATTAGCCTCTGTTCTTCCATTTAGACTTACAGGTCTGTTGATTGACACCATGGAAGCCTTCTCCTCCAAGCACATGCAGTAGAGATCGACCTCTGTAACTCATGGAGGTTTGTGTTAGACTTCCCAGCAGTTTTTGTTTTGTGTTCTCTCTTCTGGCATCTTTTTAGTACTCATAAAAATCTTGACATAGCTGTAAAATCTTTAAATTCTCCTTTTAAAAAAGAAGTATTTGAAAGGTTCAGGCATTATGCTGGCCTGCCCGTTACCTGGTGGAATCCCAGCCCAAGGTTCCATGGGAAAGAAGTCTGCACGCAGGTGCAGAGGACCCCTTTAAAAGATAGGCTCTCTGCCCCTTTACTCTCTCTCTCTCTCTCTCTCTCTCTCTCTCTCTCTCTCTTTCTCTCTCTCTCTGTCTCTCTCTCTCTCACCCTCTCTCCCCTGTCTCTCTCTGTGTGTGCTCTCCCGTCTGTTTCCCGCTCTCTCTCTCTCTATGGCGACCGGCCATGGCGGTCAGCCATTACCCTGTTCCTCTTCTTAGTCTCCCCATTCTGCCTTCATAATAAACTTATAGTCTTATCAGCAATTTCTCTTTTCTTCTTTTTAAACAAAACAATAA